GTGGTGCTGTGGCTCAAGTGGTAGAGCGCTAGCCTTGAGCTGAAGAGCTGAGGGACAGTGCCCAGGCCCAGAGTTCAGGCCCCACGACCGGACCCAAAAATAAAAATAAAAAAATAAAAAAAAAACATAATCTGTGTGGTAGTTTTAAATTCCTATAAATGTTCCTTTAAACTAACTCTATAAAATAAGGAATAGTTGGTTCAAAGCCAGCCCAGGCAGGGAAGTCTCTAAGACTCATCTCCAATTAACCGCAAGAAAACCAGAAGTGTCACTGTGGCTGAAGTGGTAGAGTGCTCACCTTGAGCTGAAGAGCTCAGGGACAGTGCCCAGGCCCAAAGTTCAAGCCCCACAACTGGAATAAATAAATAAATAAAAAGATAAAAATAAGGAATAGTAAAGAAAGAGTAAAAAAAATGGCCTAAATAGTGGATAGAAACTACTTTCAAGGGGCTGGGAAGGTGGCTCAGTGGTAGAGCACTTGCCTTGCATGCATGAGGCCCTGGGTTCGATTCCCCAGCACCACATAAGCAAAAAGAAGAAAGCCGGAAGTGGCCCTGTGGCTCAAGTGGTAGAGCACTAGCTTTGAGCTGAAGAACTGAGGGACAGCATGCAGGCCCAGTGTTCAGGCCCCACGACCGGACCCCCCCCCAAAAAAAAAAGAAACTACTTTCAAGATTCTAAAAAGATAAACAATAAAAGTTGCCACCACAACATTAACAGCCACTCTAAGAAATAGCTTTCCTCTTTATTGGCACTGGGGTTTGAACTCAGGGTCTCTTACTTGGGCACTATGTCAGAAAATTCATCACAGCAATTTATATGGTGAATGTTTTCTTAGATATGTGGGTAGATAGATAGCAAGGTAGTGGCTTAGTAGCTAAGTCAAGTTGGCTGGTCAAGTTTTTATGATGTAGCTTTGGCTAAGTATAAAGTAAGGATAAATTCAAGTATAGCAAGTTCAACTTCTTAAGTAGCCCAGGCTGGCCTCCACCTCTTCTTCCTGCCTCTGGCTCAAAGTCCTAGGATAATGGGCAAGTGTCACTCGTCTGTCACATCTAGTTAACTTTGTTGTTAAAATAAAAACATGACTTTAAAAGCTGCATTTGAATTTTAATTATTCAAATATTTATCACAAACCTATCAGCACTGACATGTTTGTATTTCTTCTTGTTCATTAAATTCTTACACTACATTTCATTCAATCATCAGCAGTAGATTTTTAGTGAATGGGAAATGACGCTGTGCACGAACTCTTACAGTGAAGACCTATCTGAAAGGATAAACTCACTATACTACTCCACAATTTCACAATAAACCACCCTTCAGCTGTACTTTGTACCTACAGACATCTCCGAGGAACAGAGCCATCAACTGGAAGTGCTTTGGCTTCTCACCTTCCCTACTTCCGCATGATAGCCTGTTCTCATTGGCTCGAGAAGCCAAACGAAAATGTCCCTAATATCCTATCATATATTCATTTTCTAGAAGCACATATCAGATTTGTTTGCATTAGCAAACAGGAGTGATTACTTAGCTTCACAAAATACTCATATCTAAACTGATGACACTACATATATGCTTGGTATATATAGATATATACATGTATATTTCACAGATGCGTGATATACATATACATGTCACATATATATGTGGCAGAAATATATGCGATATATATGTGCATATGCTCCTCTACTCATATACATCTATCTAGACAGATAGATAGCTGTATGCATATTGAAGAGGACAGATATCACCTGTATAATATTCTGAAATACATAATCTGTGCCTCCAACACCAACGCTTGAGAAGGATCATGAGCGATTTTCTTCTTTTAAAGCTCGCAGGAAGAGCTAGGCAAACAAGTAACAGGGCGCAAAAGGAGTTCATCTCCTTAGGAGAACCGTGAAACATTAGAGAGCAAATATTTCGGGAAATGAGTAGAACAGCCCTTTCCCGAGATGACTTCGAACAAACGCAACGAAATCGTTCCCTTTATCACTCAATTTCAACTAAAAGAAAAAGAACAATTCACCAGAGACCCAGGCATTGCATTGTGGGGGGCTGGGCGGCCCGGCGGCCAAGCCGAGGCCTGGGAGAGCGCGGGCAGGGCGGGTGGCAGGGGAAGGCCCTGATTGGCAGGCGACCTGCCGCCGGGAGGAGCGCGGATAGGCGCGCTCACCTGTGAACACGTTTTGGAAGCCATCCGCCGTCGCTGGCGTCCCAGTCGCCGTGGCCGTCCGAGCTGGGGACCCGCCACCGCTGGGATCCGTTGTCGCCCCGCGCCCCAGCAGGTGCGCGGAGCCTCCGGCCCCAGGCGCGCGGGCGCCCAGCTCGTCCGTCCAGTCTGCGGAGCGGCTGAGTCCCCCGGCCAGGCCGCCGTCCACCCGGTGCTTCTTAGCCGGGGCTGCCACAGAGGCCAAGCCAGCCCTGGAGCCTCGGCTCAGGGAGGACTCCAGGCGCCTCTTGATCCTGGGGCTCTGGCTGGGGGACTGGGAGGGGGAGTGGTTGGGAGAGCTGAGCTGCCGGGTGGTGGTCTTGATGTAGCAGGGGTTGATGAGCGGGTAGGGCTTGAAGCAGCGCGGGCTGGGCGCGGGGCTACTGGGCAGGGAGGCGGCTGCGGGGAGAGCGGGCCCTGGAGTGCGCTCCTCCGGCTCTTCTTCCAGTCTCTGCGGGGCCTCGGCCACCTCTGGACCCCACTCCTCTCCGGGAGAGCCTCGGGGAGCATCCTCAAAAGCATCCTCCTCGCCCTCCTCGTCTGTGTCCCCAGCCCCGGGTACGAGGGCTCCGGCTGCCTCCTCGCCAGCCCCAGCCTCGGGAAACGCGAAGGCAGCGGACGAGGGGGAGTCGGCGGCGGCCGACTGGGCGGTGGAGAAGCTGAGCGCTTCGGAGGCGAAGCGGTCTCGCGGGGAGGCCGGGGACTCGCGCGCCGCGGGGGGCTCGCTGGCCTGGCTCTCGGGCAAGGCGGAGAGCGCGGACAAGGTCTGATCGGCGGCGTCCCCGCGGCCCGGGGCCTCCCCAACAACTCCGCCGCTGGGTCCCAGCAGGAACCCATCCAGGCCCAGGAAGGCGGCAGTGGGGGGCGCTGCGGGCTCCTCCGAGTCTTGGAGCAGCAGCTGCTGGTGGTGCTGCTGTTGGTGCTGCAGGCGGATTGCCTGCTGGATGTCGGAAAGCAAATCCTCCTGCTCCGTAGCCGAATGGAAGCTATAGATGTCCGTGTCCGAGCCAGAACTGGTCCTTTGTCCATCCTGAGCCCCTGCCGCAGTTTCCAAATCCTCTGCGACCGCCTGGACCCCTTCCCTAGCCTGGGCCGGCCTAGGGCTACCTAGACGGGTCACCTCAAAAGGGTCCACACACTCTGTATCCGACAGGCCCGTCTCCTCGGCCGAGAGGCTGAGGTCCGGAGTCTTAGTAACCAGGGACTGAGCGCTGTCCAGCTCCCCGATCTGCAGGGCCTGAGAATCCAGCACATCTTCGCGGGAGTCGCTGGCCCCTTTCCCCTTGGAAAGGTTCTTCCTTATCCGCAGGTTGGAAAACACCGAGGCTCTGGAATCCGACTTGCTCTTCTTCTTGCCCGGCTCCCCGCCGCCGCCCCCTCCCCCCTTGCCGTGCTTGCCCAGCGCCTTCTTGCTCCCGCTCCCCTTCTTTGTGGTTTCCGCATCCCTGGGCCGCGCAGCATCCTCGGCGCCGCCGCCGCCGCCGCCGCCTTCGTGGGAAGCATCACCTGCGCTCCTCTTCAGCTTCCCATCCTGATTTCCCATGTTGCAATCCCGCTGCTGCGCCCGCTGCTCCTAAGGTACTCAGGCCATCGTGGCCCCGGCCAGGACCAGGGCAGCCTCGGGGACAAGTCCGGCAGCTGGGCCAGCCGAGGGAAGGGGAGGCCGAAGAGCACCCAGCTGGTCCGGTTCACATCTGCTGCTGCCGCCGCTTTGCATAATGTGCGCCGGTTCTCGCGGCTGCCGTCCTTGCGGCGGTGGCTGCGGCCCTGGCCGGCGGGCTCGATCATGCTCAGTGCAGCGCGCACTCCCCGCCAATGGCTGCACAGGACGCAGCCGAGGCCTGGCTCCCCGCCCATTGCCGCCGCCCCCTCGGGGCCCCCTAGGCTCCTCCCTAAACCTGGCGCGCAAAATGCTCCCTGGGTTTCTGAGACCGACTTCTTTGCCCACCCCCCCACCTCCCCTCCAATAGTGTCCTTGCTGGGTGGTGCAGCCTGGCCTTGAACTGACCCGCGATCCCTCCCTCTGCTCAGCCTCCCAAACGCGGGGATTACAGATATGCACCACCATGCCTGGCCATTTATCTCCATCAAGCCAACAAGGATGCATTATCCTCTCCCTAAGCACTGGTGGGTTGTAACTTTAAAGCTGCAATCAGAAAAAATAAATAAAAAATGAATCCAACGTAATGAAGCAAAGCAGATCCCAATAGCAAGTTAGAGATGCCATGACATCACAGCCAATTGCACCTTTCCCTCTATCTGCCACATCATAATTCTACCATGAAATACTTGTTGCATGAGTGGATTGTTCTGCTTCTTGAATAACTGATCATCTTGAACACTAACGTGCTTGTGTATGTGGGCTAACAAAGGTTACGACATACCGTTTTGCATTCTTTTCACATAGACCTTGTTTCTTCAGCACCAGATGCCAACTGTCTCTTCCAAAGTGGGTTTATCAAACATTTTTTGGACAGAAATAGGAGAGGTAGAAGAAGCTGAAAATACTAAGATTAGAGTTGATTAAAATGCTAATCTCCAAAATTGGATGTGCTTACCATATAAATTAAACAGCATTTGTATTTTAAAAGGGTGCATATACTATAACTCCCAGGAGGTCAAACTCATCAATATTAAACATGTCACTATTGTGATCGCCTATAAAAAGGAAAAAAGAAAGGAAACATCCTTGGCACAAACACAGGCAATTAGATGTTATGCTATAAACCACCACTTTCCCAAGCAAATCCTTCCATGCATGCTTTGTCCTGGACCAAGGCTTCTGGCCTGGATGTTAGCTGCCTACAGTTTAAAAAATATTTTTAAACAACATTGCTACTGAAAGAAAGTCCCAAGCTCCAAACTAAGTCTAGAGTAGCATTAATCAGCAAATGTTATGCTTGTTTAAATTAGAAGTTCATTGTCAACGACTCTGAAAGTATGCAATAGTTTTCCAAAATATATCTTTAAACTCAGAGAAGAGGTAATTATATGATGTCATTTTAAATGCAGCAAGCAAATGTGTAGTCTTCCTTTGCATACCAGGAACCAACATTTTAATCCTTTCTCTTGAAAGGTTTAAAATAAAAAGTTGGTCTTGTAGTCTACAGGTCTTTGATAGAAAAGATACTTAGCAATTACTAGGCGTTTCAAACTATGATCTTCAAAATAAATGTAACGTCAGGGGGAATAAACAGCTGTCCTTACATGGCCCTCAAGTAAATAGTTTGCGGAAATCAACTTTAATAACTTTGCCAGGGTAATATTCCGGTCTCCAAGGGATTCCTGAGTGCTTGAAAAGCCTTTGTTTCTACCTCTTTCAAAAGACTGTTCTCTTCTATTTTTTAGAATCCAGGCTCCCCGGAGGCCCCAATTTGCCTGTGGATATTGAAATTTTTCTGCTACTTTGAATGTTGAGGTACTTTGAATCCTGATTTTTGCTCTGTCGTTAACAGAGCACCTTTGATTATGAACTATTTGTTTACTTACTATTTTCCTCTGTGATACATTCAAGAATTTAGCAGGAACAAATGAATGGAGAGGGAAGGGATAGAAAAGAAGAGAGAGAAAGGAAGAGAGAGAAAGGACAGCTGGGTTTTTTTTCTCACCCTTTGAATGGGAAACAATAGGTAGCAGTTGGGCTGCAGGTTCAAGTTGATAAAGCACTATTTCGTGGGAAACTTCACTTCAAATTCACCAGCGTGAGTAGGAAATGTAGGTAGGTCCAATACTAATTAATACATAAGCTCAGTTCAGAGAGGTGAAGGAAATTTTCCAAGTTTGCATAGGGGCAGACCAAATATATGAGGAAAAATGTAAGCCCCAATTCTTTATAACAAACAATATCATACTGTTTTCTCTTTAAGGGACTGGTAAAGATATCATAAAAGCAAGCTGAAAAAGTTTGTTTAGAGAATTCTTTTGTACTCAACAGGTAATTAGTAATATTAAAGTTACTTGGGACATAGGTCCTCAAACGTATATCTATTTGAATAATAAAGAAGTATCAGTGATGTATATAACTTTGTGGTAGAGCCCCTATCTGAATTTGATCCTCAGCACCAAATAAATAAATGGATAGGAAAAAAATGAAAAGTAGATAAAAATAGTTCAAAATTAGTAAAAAAAAAAAAGGGGGGGTTGATGAACTGGAAAGAAAAGAAAAAAAGGGGAGAAGGAAAAAGTATCATATCTGTTATTGTAAAAATACATTAAACAAGTAATTAGGAATCCTTCCAACCACATATTAGATCTCAGAAGAAAAAAGGCCAAGTATGACCAACTCACACAGCTCAAATATGTATAATATTGTAGTTATTGGCAAAAAGAACTCTATTAGCATCCCAAAGAGGTCACACAGATTGCACACAAAATAAAGTGCAGCCCTACTCATTTTCCAGCTAAGGAAATATATAGGGGTTTATAGAATGTAGTAAAACAAGGCCCCCAGGGCTCAAGTAATTCTATCTATCTGGGAGCTGGTGAGTAGTTGTTCTTCTATTGAGATTACCATGTTTGCTGTTGGAGGCCTGCCTGTGAAGAAAAGTGCTCTAGATTTCAACTCCAAACCCGCAAAAAGCAAGCCTTAATGCATGGCTCATGTAGTAGAACACTAGTCAAGCAAGCAGACCCAGGATATTGAGTACAAACTCTGATATACTAGAAAAATAATTGATTAAAAAATTAATGAATGAAGGTTTTTACATCAGTAATAAAGCATGTAGTTAATATGCATAAAGCATATTGGTTTGGTCTCTAGTACCTCAAAATAAATAATTAGGTAGGAGGTGGTAGTGCATGCCTACTACCTGAAACACAGAAATAGAAAAACAGATTCTGAAAATACCTCAGGGCAAAAAGCACACAACGCTACCCGAAAAATAAACTAAACCAAAACAATAGAGAAATGGAAATTAGAATAGTGTTGGAAAAGGCTGAAGTAGTAATTATCTTGCTTAGCAAGTGCAAAGCCTTGATTTCAAACCCCAGTACCACAAAAAACTCAAGAAACAAGACAGATAATAGATAAATAGACAGATTGATAGATCAATAGATAGAAGATAGTAAAAGTGGGTTGATAAACTTTAAATAAGTATTGGACTCTAGTTCATAATATACATGTTGCATAGTTGTGCTAAGTATACTAATCTTGTTACTCTAGAATGCATCAAAAACTAAAATGGGACAGACATGTGGTATAACAAATAAGATAATATTAATTATTTAATCTACATAGTAGAAATATACATAGTAGATATCTGGTGTGCACTACAATATTCTCTCAAATATTTTGTATGATTAAAGTTTTTTTATTAAAATGTTGAAGAAAGCACACTTCAAGAATGTGTGAAATTTTAAGCTGTTTTGAATTAGAATCATGCAAATAGATGAATACTAAATGATAGATGGTGGTATGTATACTTCAATGACAGAGCACTTGTCTAACAGGTGAGCCCTTGATTTTGATTTCCTGTACCACAGAAAAAATACAGTGTAGTGAAATGTTTTTTTAAATCAGTTTATTGAGGGTTTTCCAATGTGTCCTTTTGCGTAGCCTTGATGCAATGTTATGGATCTCTAATAGAACAATTAGATTGCTTTATATGATATTATTCATCTCATTCTTTTCTCCAGGAAATGCATGATCTTCCATTTTAAAGACAAATTTTCTGCCTATCAATTAGTAAGCTATTGTCCCCATCTCAATCTACCTCTTAGTCTTGACTTCTTCTAAATCATGGTCCCTGATCCCACAGCCTGGAGGACACCCTAACTCCTGTCACATTATCATTCTTGAATTTAACTCCCCTTCATTCATGTATATATATATATATATATATATATATATACACACACACGCATACATATATACATTTGCATATACATATACTGGTTTTTCTTCAATAAAATCCCCACAATCATTCCAGGTGCCCCCCCCCAAAAAAAACCATTGTTGCCTCCTTCCTCTCCTCCAGTCCAAACAATTCACCAGTCTCAGACTTCTCTATTCTTCCTCCTTAATGTCTCTCAAATTCACACATGCCTCCCACCCCTACTGTCAATTCTCATACCCCCCTTCTCCCCCAACTTCCCACTCCCATCTGTTCCCTCCCATTATTGTCCATGCTTTTCAACTGCAGGGATGACTTTGCACCCCAGGGGATATATGGCATTGTCTGGAGACATTTCTGGTTGTCAGAATGGAGGTGCTGCTGTTAACATAATACAAAGAGCACGCCTCCTGCTCACATGACCAAGAGTGATCCAGCCCAATAGCTCATTAATGTTTGTGAGTGAGACACCTGCTGTACTACCAAGCCAGTTAATACAGTGTACTGCTGAGGGCTGGGGATCTAGCTTCTTGGTATAGTACCTGCCTGGTGGACACAGTGCTCTGGATTTGTTCTCCAGAACACAAAAGAAAAGAATTGAGAGATGACAACTCTATCTCCCAATTCATCAAACTAAATCAGAATCTTGACAGCAGAGATTAACATGACAAATAAGACTTCATTGTTTCTACAGTGCTAAATATCTTAAGAG